ACAAAACAAAAAAACGAATTGTTTAAAGCCACTGATTTTGGGGGTGGTTGGTTGCCACAAAAGCCACCCCAATTTCAACACGAAGAGTAATACCAGCTATCCCCTGCTGGGGTGTGTTAAGGTTCTAGAGAGCCAGTGGGACTAGAAATGGTGCTGTAGCCACTTGGAGAAGAGTGAATGTGCTGCACAGCTGGCTGGTGTCAAGGGAGGCAGCCGAGGGCCAAGCTGAAGACAAAGAGGGAAGTCCAAGTCCAGAGCTCCAGGCTGGATGGACAGCAAAGGGAGACGTAGCATTACTTAGCTCGGAAAAAGACTGACCAAGAATAATGGCAGACGTTGTTGAATAGAAGCAGGATTAGCAAGTTTACAAGAGACTCCTAGACTTATTCACATAGCTGGACATGGAAGAATAGGGAAAGCCATGAGGAATGAAGGGCTGAGGTGGGAAGGACAGTTCTTCAGCTGGTGGAAGCGTGGGCTTGGTAAGCAGCCCTGCAGAGGGGGCTGGACACACAGTGGTACAGAGGGGACCACCCCTGCTGTCCTCACAGCAGGCATTGCACAGCAGAGAAGGGTTTGGTGGCCTTGGGCCTGCAACCTCCAAGGCTCATCTCTGCTAATAAAAGGCTTCTTAATAAAATTATTGGTTACATCTACACCATACGATAGTGAAAAAAAAAAATCGAGTCACAGAAGGAATACTGCCTGAGTTACATGAATTAGAAAGGGAGCCAGCTCTGAAAATTATTGTTATAAAAAATTCTTTCCCTTTCATGTGTTTCATACAATGGCTAGCTCTTGAGACCCCCATGCTATAAAAAGAGAGAAACCTTGCCCTCCCTTTCACACACACACATCCATTCAAACAGGCACTGAGGAGGATGGAAGAGGTGTCAGACATCTGTGTTTGTTACTGATGAAGGCAGCATACATTGATAAAGCATTGTCTATGTTTGGGGCAGAGGCAAGTTCACTATTCAAAAAGAAAGCAACATAGAGCAGCAAATAATATGAATGGTCCAGTATGTAATCTATAGCATACGATTGTACAATCTGCTGCTTTTCATATTATCCTATGTGAAATTATATGTGATAGAGTATTTTTTATAATATCTTGCATATATACATCAAAGGGACAGGAAGTACTCTGGGGCTATGGTGGACGATTGCGTGCATCCGCACCAAGCTCATGGCAACACAGGATCCCACACCTGGAACGGGGGCTGCTAGCTCCCTGTCTCTATCCTTGTGCTGTTTCCCTGCATGTAGTAGCTTTCTAGTGTCCTTGTAACACATTATAGTACACTGAGTGGCATGCAACAGTGATGGTTTATTGTTCTCTCACGGTTCTGGAAGCTACGAGTTCAAAATCAAGGTGTTGCCACTTTCTACTCATGTATCTCTCTGGCAGCACGGTGGCTGCCCCTGCCCTTGACACCCCCTGGTGGCTCTCTGCCACCATCTTCTCCTGACATGATTCCCTGTATCCTGTGCCTCAATTTGCCTCTTCCAAGGATGCTGCCACTTAGGAGTTGACCCTAATCCACTATGACTTGATCAGAAGCATGATTATATCTACGAAGATGTCATCTTTTACCAAATAAGGCCCATTCATCAATTCCAGGTAGATATGGATTTCGGGCAACACCACAGCCTTAGTCTGAGCCTTGGTGCCTCTCTCCATCCCCCTACCTTCAAGTGCTCATTGGATGAAAGATCATCTGGGCACACACATTATTCAGGCAGACACCTACCTGGTTCTATTGTGGCATTTTGTTTTGTTTTGTTTGGCCAGTTCTGGAGCTTGAACTCAGGGTCTGGGCAGTATTCCTGAGCCTCTTTGTGCTCTAGGCTAGCTCTTTGTGCTCTACCACTTGAGACACAGCTCCACTTCTGGCTTTTTGAAGTGTTTACTTGCAGATAAGAGTCTCATTGACTTTCTTACTTGAGCTGGCTTCAAACCGTGATCCTCAGATCTCCACCTCCTGAGTAGCCGGGATGATAGGCATGAGCCAGTAGCACCTGGCTGCTCAGGTATCCTGAGTTACACTCAACCTATGAGTTTAACAAATGGTTCAGCAGGGCCACAAATGCCAAGGAAGACACAGGAAGAAAACATGGCCTTCAGAGCAGTGAAACACAGCAGAATCCCCATTCCACTTTATAAAGGGCCTTGGGCAAGTTTGCTTGTCAGGCCTAGCAGCTGAGTTTATGATGACATTTGTAAGACATGTGAGAATGTAGGGGGCTATGGAAGACAGCACTCCCATGGACGGGAGAGAGAATGTCTGCATGCAGTTCAAGGCCACACCATCTTGCTGTACCAGCAATGCGATCCGGGGAGAATCTTACCTCAGAGCAGATTCCAGGAAGAACAATTAAGAGGGCCAGATATGAACGGGACCACCTGAGCTCCATCCTAGTTTCTTGGGCCAGTTCTTACTTCTTCTCTGTGCCTCAGTTTCCACATCTGTAAAGGATTCCACTCACTGACCTAACAGGGGTGGAGGTGGGGTAAATGAGTTAGTAATGTATGAAACTAACTTAAGACAATGCTTTACAATACAAACACAAGCTATTACTATTACTACTGTTATTATAGGAAGTTCTTACCCGGCTAAGGATCTTAACGATTTACTAAGTACCTCCTTCAATTCATTGTCCCCTGCGCTGCCACCACCACTACCAGAGTGTGAACAGGTTAACAGTCTGTGCATGTGGCTTTTTGGTTTTGTGTCCCTTTTTGGGCATTCTCTATTGGTCACTTTACCATTGGCCCTGGGTGAACTTTGTTGTTTGATCAGCACGTTGTAAAGGACCAAGGCTCCCATACCGATGCTGTTTTGGGGAGCCCTCACGCGTGGGCCAGCGTGACAGCTTGGGCCACTCCCTGGCTCAGTGGATGCATGGCCCTCTGGGCAGGGTGGCGATTGCGGTGAGTGAAGCGCCACTGCCTTGGCCACTCAGCCGTGGAGCTGTCTCCGGTACACAGGGAGAGCTGAGGCCTGACGGGGAGCGGAGTTCTCAAATCACTCAGAGAGCAGTGAAACAACTATAATTTCATAGTAATGACCTGTGAGCAACACTGTGAAAGGCTCCACTTACCAGCCATACACCCTTGCCTCTGCTGGGAGCAATTTGCAAGGTGGGGAAAGTGGGAGAGGCGCAGGACTTCACTAATGTATGACAGAAGGAATCACAAACGCCACAGACAAACAGACCTTGAGGGAGAATCATTTGTTGTTTCCTCAAAAACAAAACAAAACGAAAAAACCACACACAAAACCCCCAAAAAAACAAAGAACAACGATCCTTGTTCCTGGGTATTGCAAGGGGAGATTCTTGCTACCTGAGCCTCCCCTGCCTGGACTCCTATACCTCAGCCTCCAGTAGAGGCCAGAGTTTCCACAGGAGCTAATACCAAGCAGAGGCTAGGGCCTGTGGGCCTTCTGTCCTCTAAGTGTCAGGGGCCAAGAAACCACTCAAGGGGAATAAATTATACAGAGACCATTGTTTCCCATTTTTTTTCTGTTTGAGTTTGTGTTTGCTTTGGAATGATTTCTTTCTACAGTCCACTCAGAGGGGCGCAGGAGACAGACTTGTCTTTCACATGTTAAAAAAAAAAAAACCAACTATTTGGAAAGGCGATGAGGAGGAGGAGTGGCACTCATGCTGTGAGGAATTGCTTGCTGTGTTCTTGTGGTAACCCCCCCCCCCTCGCACACCCCTACACACCTCACACAAGGCCAGGCACCAGCTCCTTGAAGAAATGCAAACTTAAACCTCTGGTGCAATTCTCTCCAGTGCCTTACACAAAATCAATAGCCAAATTATGTTTGCTGAATAAAAGGATAATTTAGTGAGTATATTACCCGACTCATTCAATTGTAATCCCTCTGTGTGTCACCTGTATCAGCACAATAAAGCAAATACTAATTAATAAAGGATAATTTAGCCAATTTGCAGTTTATGGACTCTGAAGTCCAAGTACTAACCAGAACTAAGTATCTGGGCTCTGCTGATGAGCCTAGATTCAGGGAAACGGGATCAAAGTGTGAGTTATCTGGACCCATGAGATCCTCATGGAACAAGGGGAAGACGAGGGAAAACTACAGAGGGATGTATTTTGTCTAGGTACAGCCAAAGGCAAGCATTCCTAATTACTTAGAGAAGTCCTGCAGAAGGGGAAGCTTTGAGGCTGGACATAATTGCTTATACCTGCAGTCTCAGCTTCTTAAGGAGGTGGAGATCGGGAAGATCACAGTCCACAGCAAGCCCAACTAAAACAAAAAAATGTTAGTGAGACCCTTCCTAACCAGCCAGGTATGGTGGTGTGTGCCCGTGACACTCAGGTATGGTGGTGTGTGCCCGTGACACTTCAGGTATGGTGGTGTGTGCCCGTGACACATGACACTCAGCCACTTACAAGGGTATTTTTTGTTCCAGCCACAGGCTAAAATATGTGAGACACTACCGGAAAAATCACTAACGCATAAAAAGGCTGAAAGTGTGGCCAAAGTAGAGCACCTGCCCAGTAAGCAGGTGAATTCACAACCTGAATTCACAACCCCAGGGACACCAAACAAAGCGCAAACCAAAAAACAACAATGGCAAAGGCTGCTTTGAGAGCTGCTCTACAATCCAGGAGAGACGCAGTAACAATTCAAGCATAGCCTAGAGGACTGGATGGAAGTAGAAGTCGGTGGCCAGCATCCTTAGCTCCAGTCTAGATGATGTTGGGGTGCGGTGGGGGCTGCACTATTACACTGGATTTCGGTGTGTTCAGGAGTTTGCAATTCTGCAAAAGCTCCATGCACAAAACTCAAGTGTAGTCCAGTGATTGAGCCGCTTCACGGATCCACACTAGGAGTGAAGAACTCGGCCCCTTGCTTTGGAGAGGGGCCAGGCCGTGGCTCTCTGTGACTGCGCTTGCGTGTTATCCTCCTGTGTTCTTTCTTGCTAGTGGGCAGCCACTGACCTGAGCGCTGCTTCTCTTTCAGGCTGGAATCGATGGAGAGAGCATTGGCAATTGTCCTTTCTCTCAGCGCCTCTTCATGATCCTCTGGCTGAAAGGCGTCGTGTTCAACGTCACCACCGTGGACCTGAAAAGGTAAAGGACATGGTGTTCACAAGGAAAGTGTGTATCGATGGCCAGGCAAGTCCAGAAAGAGAGAGCAAGCCAGAACCGGCATGTTGGCAATGTCCCGGGGAGCTTTTCTGGCCAAATGAGGCACTGTCCAGGGTGTCAGACCAGTGTCCCCCGTGTCCCCAGTGTCGTGTTCCAGGACACAAGCCACACAGACTGCTAAACCTAGAAGCCATGGGCAACTTCTGAAAATAAGATCGGCATAGGTTTCTTGGCTTTACAACCAACACAAGCCCTGCTCCCTGCGGTTAAACACAGGAGCCAGGAAAGAATGTCCCTTCACGGCATGAGAGGAGGGACGCGCTCAGAGTAAACAAAGGCACTAAGCAAATTAGATTTTAGAAATACTTTCTGTCTGGACGGTGTGAGTTCCAAGTGCCAAAGAATGTAAGCAAAGAGCCTTCCTTTTGGGGACCGCAGAAGAGCAACACCCTAATTGACATTCTTCTGGTCCCCTCCCCAACTGATTACGCCTGGAATTTGTTTCATTATAGCCGTCGCCACCTCTTTGTTTTTTTGTTTTTTTTCTCCTCTACTTCTTTACACTTCTTCCATCTTATATTTCCCACTGCAGCTCCCGCCAGGAACTTTGCTCAGAGAGGGCGTTTGGCGTGACTTACATTCCAGCCCTTTCCATGGGAAGTCCGCCATTATTCCCCCTCTTCCTTCCTCTCTCTGCATTCTCCATCGCTTTGCTCCATCCTTCCTCTCGTGTCCAGTCACCTGGCGGGAGGCACCAGAGGACCATGCATGGGCGCTCACAGAGCCCCTGTCCAACACCTGTCTTCTGCTGTGGTTGCGGAAGTCCCTCCCCCAAGTGGTCGGCCCATTGCCCAGCACAAATCAGGACTGTACTGGGCCTGGCTGTGGGTTCATAATGGAAGTCCTGTCATCTGATTGGCTGCCTGGTCCTCATTTTCACCTCTCCAGTGTCAATGCTTTCTTCCCTGGAGAGTGTAGGACTTTCATGTCTCTTCCCTTGGGGGATAAACATGCACTGTTGCTTTGCTTATCTTAGATTTCTTTCAGGATCTGACCCAGAATCCTACAGGCACACTAGGAAGACTCTGATTTTCTTAGGTGTTAGATTGGATACATATGCTCCATCTAACTGAGTCTACTGGTGCCAGCCAAGCTTTCCATAAAAATAAATAAATTAATTAATTAAAATGCTGGGGTGCTAGTGGCTCACGCCTGTCATCCTAGCTACTCAGGAAGCTGAGATCTGAGGATCGTGGTTCAAGGCCAGCCCAGGCAAGAAAGTCCATGAGACTCTTATTTACAATTAACCAACAGAAAACCAGAAGTGATGCTGTGGCTCAAGTGGTAGAGTGTTCACCTTGAGCTGAAGAGCTCAGAGACAGCGTCCAGGCCCAGAGTTCAAGCCCCATGACTAACTTAGAAAAAAAAAGTTATTGTTATTATAAAAGTGATATACAAGAGGGGTTTCTGTTATAAAATCAGGTAAACACACACACACACACATACAAGCCTTTTATTGAAAATAAGTACTATATTTGAGTCTTATTAGAAAACAGAAGACATATTTACTTGGAAAAACAGATTATTTGTAGCTTGAGATAACAACTAAGTCATTTAAAAGAAATGGGTACCGTTTCTGATTCAGGAAAAGGTCCCAGTTTATGTACGTTTAACAGAAATCTTAAATATTTCAGGAAAAGTAACTACGTTCTAGCAAGATTATCATAGTAGTCACATTTCAAGAATGATTATGTGTGTTTCGATTATCTTCAAAGTAGAACTCTGCAAAAGGCAGACTGCAGTGTGGTACTGACACTAGAGCAACGTGTCTGCAGTGTGGTATTGACACTAGAGCAACGTGTCTGCAGTGTGGTATTGACACTAGAGCAACGTGTCTGCAGTGTGGTATTGACACTAGAGCAACGTGTCTGCAGTGTGGTACTGACACTAGAGCAACTAGAGCCCACAGGTCCTCTCCACATGCACCTGACCGCAGCAGGCCTGGCCCGGGGACGAGGAACAATGAAACACTCACCCCGCAGGTGTGGGTATCCCCAGCACCATCGTCAACACACACCCCACAAAGGATCGCAAATTTTGATCAAAATTAGAAGTTTCTAGCAACGTTAGACCAACTCTTCATCTATTCTGAAGCTAAAATCCCTTTTTTTTTTTTTTTGGCGGGGGGAGCGGGGGAGTCTGGTCGTGGGGCCTGAACTCTGGGCCTGGGCGCTGTCCCTCAGCTCTTCAGCTCAAGGCTAGCGCTCTACCATTTGAGCCACAGCGCCATTTCCGGCTTTTTTCTTTTTGCTATGTGGTGCTGAGGAATCGAACCCAGGGCCTCAGGCATGCAAGGCAAGCGCTCTACCACTGAGCCACCTTCCCAGCCCACTTCTTTTTTTTTAAGTCAAAATGTAGGGATTGGTTATGTAAATCACTAAAAGCGTTTACCCACTGACAGCTTCGCACATGGCCGCATGCTTCCACAGCAACCTCCTTGCCGACGGTGGGTCCCGTGGCTTCTCTTAGATACCTTCTCAGCCATCACAGCAAATTCTCCATGCAGAACCCTTAGTCGTAGCAAGAAGCATTGTACCCGTAACCTGACTCGTGGGATTGTAACCCCCTTGTGCGACGACATGACAATATAATAATAAATCCTTCATCATCGCCTGTCTGCTGTCCATTGAATAGCAGCATTGAACTTGGGCCTGTCAGACATGTCATAAATTCTCACCAAGGACCTGTAGTGTGTGTCCATGTTCAAACTTTAGCAATAAAACCCTTTCTGAACATACCATCTCTATTAGTTTTTAATAGTTTCCTTTTTGAGCCACTTTCTTAAAAACAATCTAACTCATTCCTCTTTAAAGCTTGGAATGATCTATAGCAGACTCTTGTCAAACTAGTAAGTGGAAAAGCTTTTGGAGGCAGAGTCCAGCTGCTTTTCTGTGTAGTCGGAGCTGGGAGCAGATCCATGTGATCTGTGATTCCTCCACCTTCCCAAAGAGCTCAGCTCCCCCTTGGCTCCTTCCTCTCCCACTGAAGCCCACTCGATGCATTTCCTGTGCCGCGGGCCCTTTCTCCAGCCTCCTCGTCTCTGCATGCCCAGCAGAAATCTGCTTTAGTGTGGAGAGTCTAATTTACAATAAGTCCTAGGTTTCTCACAACGGGAAGCTTCCTGGCGTTCATAACACCTGAATCTTGCTCTCCCTGCAGAAAGCCAGCTGACCTGCACAACCTGGCCCCTGGCACCCACCCGCCTTTCCTGACCTTCAATGGGGAAGTAAAGACCGACGTCAATAAGATCGAGGAGTTCCTGGAGGAGACCCTGACCCCTGAAAAGTAATGAACTTCTTCTTTTGGGAACTAGTGAGTGGGAGGGGGTGAACCCAGAGAAACCAGATTTCCAGAGGCGGCTTCTCCATCCAGAGCTGGGGCCCTGCGTGCAAACACACAGTGTTTGATGATCTCAGACTGAGTCCTGTAGATAGACCCACACATAGCCACTGCCTGTGGAGGGGACAGTTGGTCCAGCCCTCGTAGAGAGACTTGAGCCCCAAGGAGGTTACCACCCCGCCCTCACCCCAGTTTACTGGAAAACCTCAGAGTCAGGCAAAGAAAGGCTCCCTGGTTTTAGAACAAGAGGCAAATGTCAGATGCAGTAACACAGCCAGGAAAGGGACACAGAGCCTGAAACCACACCAAGCGTCATACATCTGATCCAGGCACAATTCAACCGGAGAACCTGACCAGAAGCACTTCCTCTTGTGAAATCACGTGACATGGGGCCGAGGGGGCGGGGCTCATAGCAGAGAGTTGTAAGTTTTTGTTGGGGAGAGAAAAAAGGAGAAGGATGGACCCCAAATTTGCAGGGGCTAGGCTTGTACACTGTAGACTATTGTCATTGGAGATGACAGCAAGCATACTTTTATAAAAACACTAAAAATAACAATATTGGATGAACTTGGGGCTGGGAAGGTAAATAGCATGAGGGACAGGAAAGATGGAGGTGGAGAAATCAGTCAGAAGGAGCCGGGCAAGACCGAATGATGGACTGGGCTAAGCTAGTGGCTGGACAATGGGAGAGAGGAATGAGAAAGATTCAGGGTTTACTTAGCCCCCGAAACTCAGTGAAACGTGACAACTGAAAATCACCATCTTGTATTCGTATTGAAGTGTTGATTTGTCCACACACATGCACATGCACATGCACATGCACAGGTCTATTAGAACAATTAGAACCTGGCCGCCAAGACTCGCTGTCATCCTTACTGCAGCTCTGAGAAGTAGGTGACACCTTGTGTTGCAGTCAGACATGACAAGATGTCGTGACTTACCCAAGACTTCAATGAAAAATCCCAGGCTCCCATTGTGTTTGGAGTGACCTCCCAGACCCCCCTCCTTTAAAAATACTCATTGTCATCCACATTGGGACTAGACCAGTCCCTCCTCTGCCCTTGACAGGAGCCGTGAACCTCCTTCCTGCCCCCCTCCCCAGCCCAGTTCCCCACGCACTCTTTAACCAGCTTCCTCATGCTTTCTCCCCACTCCACCCCCAATCTGGCTCTGCAAGGCCCCTGGCCGGTGATTCCTTCCTTTCTTTTTTTTTCTTTTTTCTTGTCTGTTGTGGGGCTTGAACTCTGAGCCTGGGCGCTGTCCCTCAGCTCTTCAGCTCAAGGCTAGCGCTCTACCACTAGAGCCACAGCGCCACTTCTGGCTTTTTCTGCTTATGTGGTGCTGAGGAATCGAACCCAGGGCCTCATGCATGCAAGGCAAGCACTCTACCACTGAGCCACCTTCCCAGCCCCCAGGCAGTTTCTTTAACTAAGGTACCCAGAGGGGGCCCAGACCCCCCCCCAGAACTGTGTCACGCATACCATTGGACCTTGTTTCTGAAGACCATCGTTTTCGGGTTCATCATCCTGGAAACGTGGTGGGGAGGCAGCATGGTGGGCTGTAGTCTGGCCTTCCTCTCCTCCACCTCCACCCGGCTCACCTGTCCTGAGCTCGGCTGCTGCCCGTCAGGCGCTTCTCCAGGCTGTGGTGGAATGTAAGAGGGATGACAAAGCCCGTACCTACTCTGCGGGGAACCCCACGATCCATTGTTGGGCAGCAGAACCCCAAAAATGGTAAACGCACCTCTCCAGAAGTCAGCTAATATGGGGGGGGGGCCCAGTGGTGAGACCATCATCCACCTTTGCCTTCTAGAATGCTCTTAGATGACTCTGAGTGCCTCTGCTAGGGGCACATGTTGCAGATACCTCCCAGGAAGCGTCAACGAGCGTCACCGTCTTGCCCTGCCCGGGATACCCACCTGTCTGTCCACACCACAGCCTCGGCTGCCCTCCCCCGGAACCGGGCTGGGAGGCATGTGGCCTGAGCTCAGAGGCCCGGAGCGGTGCAGTCCATTCAGCCTTCTTGGTCTCTCGGGGGCAGCCGCCTTCCCCATGACCATTCCTGGCTGCTGTTCGCCGTGTGTTTCTAATCAGCACGCCAGAATGCCAAGACATTGCGGGAGCCCTTGTGTCCCCTTACTTTATTATTTTTTTATTTAAGGAGAAAACCACACGCAAACACTCCAACCCTTTTATATGTTTAAATCCTACCTGATTGCACAGAGCACTTAGTGTCAACATGAGGCATCCAGGAAATGTCATTTATTTTCTAAGCTAGATGTTTGTCCATCTGCCTCTGTGAAGGCTCAGCAAGGAAGGCATTGTCTCATCTCTAAAATGAAGGGCTGACCCCGGCCCCAGTTCTCTGATCCCCTGAGTTTCCCAACGTTCTCCCCAGAGCTGCATGCTGCTGAAACTAATCCTAGAGTAGAGATCCTTGTATTAAAAACTCAGGAAGCCAAGTCACCGGGCATGTGTGAATCACCACCCGGAGTTCAAGTCCATGCCACTAGGTGGCGCTCCGCCACAGTGACAAACCAGCTGCACAACCTCAGGGGCTGAACAGAATATTTCCCGCTTGAGGGAAATCTGCCTGGGTGGTGCGGTCTGTCCTCTTCTGTCTTCAAGCTACACTTGATGAACTTCTGAGGACCGTGTCAATGACTGTATCTCTGAAATTGAATAGATACTTACTATGGGGTCCAAGCCTGGACAATCAATCATAGTTGATGAGCTAATTGAAGAAAAGAAAAGAAGAAAAGAATAGCAAAGAGTCCAGGCATGGTAGCTTTTGTCTATAATCCCAGCTAGGCAAGAGACATGGATGGAGGAGGATCAGTGTCCTAGCCTGGCCAGAACATGAGATCTTATCTGAAAACCTAAAGTAAAAAGGTCTAGTGGCCCGGCTCAAGTGGTAGAGCACCTGCTAGCAAGCACAAGGCCCTGAGTTCAAAATCTCAGCACCACCAAAGGCAACAAGTGGTTTTTTTGGAAAGCCTTTTGTTTTTGGTTCAAAGCATTAAAAGAACAAAGTGTTTTACCCTTTAAACATGAAGCAAAGAAACGGCTCTCACTGGCAAACTATTGCCCTTAGATTATTTGGTAATGATGATAACCAGGCCAGTGTCTCCTATCTCTGCTCTTCCTCCCTGGCCACACACGTAACACGTTTGTGTAACAGCATCTTTTTTAAGCTAGAATGGTTTATGCCAATGATGCTGCGGGGTCGGAGCGTGGAGTCCACACAGACAGGTTTACCTTGATCTCGAGGCCAGCTGCCCACCGGGACGTTTCTCTGCACCGTTCAGGTGTTCTCATGGGGCCGGGGGAGCCTCAGACCCTCTGTGTCAATATTTAAATGAGCACCTTTCCATTGGTGCATCATTGTTGGACCCCAAACCCTTCGAGTGACATTCTGGTTCTTTACCCAACAGACCATGTTACTCCCAAACAACTCGTAGCACCTCACCAGGTTTGTGAGCAAGGGTTGCTGCATGCCCCCCTGACCCCAGGAGGATGCTGGGAAAACCCAAACAGTGGGTAGATCCAGCTAGAAAGGGAGAGGGGTACTGTTCATTCACTGAGATGGGGGTCAGGCTGAGGGAGCCCCAAGTCTCCCTGTACCCAGAACACTGTGCCTTCCTTCCAGGTACCCAAAACTGGCTGCCAAACACCGGGAGTCCAACACGGCAGGCATCGACATCTTCTCCAAGTTCTCTGCCTACATCAAAAACACCAAGCAGCAGAACAACGCCGGTGAGTTGGTCCTCCCACCGAGAGACGGGAGCAGGGCCTGCTTCTTGGGCATCTTCAGTCTGCCCATGGGTGTGTCAGACCCTTAGGCCCAGAGAAGCATCTGGAAGGGATGCTGCTTGTTATTCAGTCAATCCTAAGGACCCCGACTATTGGGGGGGGACCCAGATCCTGCTGCCTGGCTAGTGCAGGCAGAGAGGCCTGTGGGTCGTGTTGCTGACCGGAGGGAAGGATGTGATGTGTGTGTGGCGGCTGCCGTCTCGGGCAGCTCAGTGCGCTGCCCGGGAGAGCCCTGAGAGCCGCCGGCTTGTCCCGAATGTGTGGTCCTGCTCGCGCTCACATGGGAGCGTGCATTCTCACTTCCTTCGGTCTATGCGGGATTCCTCGGGGGTCTCCAGAAGCTACAGAGGGAGCAACATCAATGCTAAACGTGCCAAGCGAGGGGTTAGAAGTGCGCGTTTAATCACAGTCAGGGACTCTGGGAGCCTGGGCTGTGTGGAGGGTGACCCGAGACACAGAATCGTTCGTGACTGCTGATGCTGAAATCACACAAAGCCCCCACCCCCCAAAAAGAAGAAGAAGAAGAAAAGAGGAGGCACATATGGCTTAATCAAAGATGTGCTGGAGTCGATGAATTGCCAAGTGAAAGGAAAACCAATTCCTGTCCCAACAGATTTGAAACAGGAAGAATTTCCACGCAGGCCATGGAGCAAGCTTCTAGAAAGCGTTTCAACTTGAGCATCAAGACTAAGGGGGAATCAGTTAGCGGAGCTCACAGAGCGCAGGGTGGAAGAGGATGGGGCCTGGAGGGCCATCCTGGGGCGAGGATCATCCCGTGGCCACCGGTGGGTGTTGAGGGTCTCCGTGATGCTCGTGGACAAGCAGCAGCGTGGGGGAAATATTTGAAATAGGTGTGTGTTCTTGCTTCAACGCTGTTTGGGATTCAAAGCTATTGGGATTGCCCTCACTGCATCTGAGTTCAAATCCCCCCACCCCCGCCCTGGGGTCTCCAAATCGGGCCTCCTTTGGGAATGGTGTTTTCACAGAGGTAACTAGTCCAGGGTCTCCTCCTGGACTACAAGTCCAGCGACTGGGCACCTCATAAGGCAAGAAGAAGAGGATGTAGAGGGGAAGGCGAGTCCAGAGATGGAGGTGAAGCTGGGACAGGGAGCCCCCAACTTCCCCCAATAGAAAGAGACAGAAGAGCTCCTCTTGTCCTTGGGATTCCTGTTCCCCAGACCGGAGGGGGAAAGGCGGATTGTTGTAAGCCACGTGGCTGGTGGGATGAGGTGGCCACAGCCCCAGGCTCTTTCTGTGTCCATCAGTGCATCCATCCAGGGAAAGAGCAGCTCCTGCCTCTCTAGTCCTGGCCTAGGGGAGGACCAGGGCCTGGCCGTGCTGAGCAGGCGCTGTGTGCCCTGGCTCCCAGAGTCCACAGCGTCTCAGCTCAACCACAGACATCTCCCTTCATACTTGTCACGGTTTCCCTCGGAACCATCATCTCATTTCAGCCTTCCAGGTTTTTTACATTAGAAATGGCATTCCCATGTTGTGCCGATTTACAGTTCCCTTACTCCCCAAAGCCAAAGCCACAGTTTTCATGACATAGGGCGGATCGATTTCCTATAAACTCAACACTCTGCGCGCCTCATTGTTTCCCTTCTCTGGTTTCACGGTTTTCTCTCTGTAGCGGGTCTCGTCCTTAGGAAGCCCTCTTCCCCTCACCCATGAGGACAGTTCAGAGCTCGGGCCTTTCTGCTCCCCGCATGTGAGCCCCTGTCCCGGAAGTGCTGTTCTCACCCACCCTCCTTTCAACAAGATCCCGCTCTGTGGCTCCACCGCGCCGCCCCCTGTACCTATCAGTTGTGGCTTAAGGGTCCCAAACCCTTGAGGCTCAGCGAGCCAGAGGCCAAGGCTTCCTCCAGCAGAGTCGGGCAGGGTTCCTGTGGGGACCCCAGCCCACACAGAACACGGACCCCAGCAGATGGGTCATGGCCCTCTCGGCCTTGTCAGAGCTCCAAACACAGCGGGTAGCCCTTTTGGAGAGGACTAAACCAAAACAGGCATGGCCAGGAAGTCAGGGAGGAGAAAAATGTTATTATCTAAGCCTGGTGCCAGTAGCTCTCACCTGTAATCCTAGCTACTCAGGAGGCTGAGATCTGATGACTACGGTTCAAGGCCAGCCTGGGCAGAAAATGTCCATAGACTCCTATATCCAATAAACTACTCAGAAAAAGCGAGATATGGCATTGTGGCTCAAGTGGTAGGGCACTAGCCTTGAACACAGAGAGGTTCATATGTATAGTATGTATATGTATATCTATATCTATATATCTTAATATCTTACAACAGGTAAGAGCATGGGAATGATTTCCAAAGCAGGGGATGAAAAATGTCAGTGTGAGCCTAAACTTACACACACACACACACACACACACACACACACACACACACACACACACACATACACACACACACACACATTATTGAGTATATTTGCCTTAAGGTCATAGTTCAAGAAGGAAAGAGGGCGGGCATGTATGTGCACTTATAAAAGTCCTGCTGTGGATCCCTTCTGTTGTTTTTAACCTCTCTCCCCAACAAGAAAAGCTCGTGTCATTCACGCGGCCTGAGTGTGACCACAGCAGCCAGGCGGAGGGATGGGGAGGAGCTAAGCCCCCCTTGGCCCCTGTGAGACCCCTCCTCCCCCCAGACTTGACGGTCACTCTGCCTCCAACCCTGCTCGGTTCACACAGCCTGGCCACAGGGCAGAGCCCAGCCCAGGCCCGCGCCTCCGCCATCTCTAGCATCCTCCATCTTTCTCTGCCAGGCGTGAAAGGTCCCTCACCTCCAGCCTCTCTCCCTCACCCCTCCCCGGGACTCCAGGCCGCTCAGACCCAGCAGTTCTGCATTTTCCTGGCTCCCATGCTGCACATTTGCTCTGCCCGGGACCTCCGTTTGGCTCCCTGGAGGGTTTTGTTTTACCCCCTCATTTTCGTATGCCCCCCTCCAGCCTGTCATCTCCCAAGAGGATCTAGGCCTGCAGGTCTCACCCTCAAACTGCCATAGAACAGACCCTGGAACCCCCCCTCTCCCCCCGCTAGGACTCCTAGCTTCCAAGAGACTGGTTCAGTTGACTTAATGTAGGCATGCATCGTATCTTACACTACTTTTCGCAATCTCTCACTTCCCTCCCTCCATCCAATCAGGGTTTGGGGGGAACGTACCTCGTGTTTCATACAGATTGTGAGTTCCAGGCCATTCGCAAAATGGATCGTATGTGCATGTTGTGCTCTATTTGTATGTGTGTGCAAGTCTCCGTTCATTTCTTCCGGCCCTATCACATTTCCCTCTCTCCTACGGTTGCCATTCCTGCCCCAAATACGATCCTTGTTTTTGGTAAAAGTGTCATATTCTCATGCAAATCCCCCCCGACTGTCCATCTGAAGGAAGGGTGTGTGAATGTGTTGGACTTTTAAAATAAGCAACTTGCCGTCTAGTATCCCTCCTCCCCACTGAGGAGGGAGTTGTGATCCCAACTTTTTCACACAGTATGCAGAGACCACGTGACCGTGCGTGAGCTTCTCAGGCAGCCAGGACCCCACATTCCTGCACTGAACCTGCGGTTCACCATCTGGGGGATTTTGCTCTTTCCAGGCTTCAATGCCCTGTCCTCTTCCTGCTCCCAGTGCATTTTCTCTCTTATTTCCACTCTCAGATTCCTCTTTCTTATGTGTGTAGGGGGGGGGGGCAGGCAGGGGAGAGCTTTCTTTCCATTTTAATTTCTATGCCACTTGTTCCAGAAAACTTTATAGTTGCTCCCAGGGAGGTCTGCAGCGCAGCAAAGCAGCACCCCACTTGAGTGAGGTGAGTAAGAAAAACCATAAAATGTGACGGTGGGGCTGGGAGTCCAGAACCAGCACCTCGGCGCTGCACGGCCTGACACGCAGGCCGGGCCACCTGGGCAGCTGTATAATGTCAAGCAGACAGGAAAAAAAAATAGAACCCACCCACCCCCAGTTAGCCAACAGCTCAGTTCTTCCAGAGATCAGAACAAACCACCCGCCCAGAATACCAAAGGGCCCAGAGGAGCTGCTGTTGGCATTTTCTTGGGCCCTTCCATTCGGCGACTTCCAGCTGCTGCAGACCCCAGGCTGGACGGGCTGCGGCCTTCAATGCCTTTGCTCCATCTCTGCCTCGTGGAGGCCGCAGTCCCCTCAGGCCTCAGGCTCAAACCCCTCCCACCTCTCTCCTCTGCCTCCTTCTGTCTCCGCCTTCTCTTGAAGACCCATGAGCCCTTGCTGCATCCTCAGCTCCCAGTCCCGACTTTCCCCCAAGGGCACTGGCACAGCATTAGGCTCTCACAGACCCTAGGCTGACCTAACATCCTCTTTCTAAAAGACTTGGCCTTGTGAAGCGCTTCCGTCTTTCTGAATGAAGTCCTAAAAAGCCCTCTTCCAGCCTGCAATGGGCTGGATACAGGGTGATGCATTTGGGGTGCACAGACCCTTCCCTGGGGAATGCTCGGCTCCCAGTGATTTCCTCCAGTTGACCATAACCGAGCAGGCACGAGTTTCCACATTGGAAACCCCGATGTCTGCTGAAAAGAATAAAGTGATAGGAAGTAGGTGCAGTCTCAGAAAGCTCAGGAAACAGGTTCGAACCCCCTTCCCACCACCACAAAGCACTTGGTGGGGCTAAGCTTTCTGCCTGTTATTACTCTCCCAACTTCGGCCAGCCCCGCCCGCCACCGAGGGCCCTGTCGGAGAGGCCATTCACCCTGAAGGCCCAGGAGCAGTGTGTTGCCAGAGATCTTTCTGAGAAAATCAGAACAGAGAGAGAAGATACCCTTGTGTGCGAGGCCTCGGGACCCCGTCCCGTAACCCATAGGTCTTCCCACCCCATGGAGTTGTGCTGGAAGTTTCTATCATGTACTGGTCTTACTGTCATGGCAACCGCCGCAGCCACCTTGTATCTCTCTTTCCCCTTCTAAAGCCCACATG